GCAGTTGGAAAAGTTTGATGAAATGTTAATTTTCTTTACTACTTTAGAGTTTAGTTATAATATGTTTGACTGCTTATTGTCCTTAAACAAAGGCTCACATTTATCTATAGTAAACATGGCGAATCTCATATTCACATAGAGGAAGAGGTTTTATGCTTGTCAGAATATTGTTTGCAGTTTTAAAAACCTGTAATAATGAGCCTTTTCATGTACCTTGATCGCTTTAACATCACTTCCTTGGGTTGGCCTATAATAGTTTATGTATGATTTACCTTTTATTTTCAGGACAATAGGAGGGTAATATTATCTGTAAATTATTAGACCATCCATCAAACAAGCTCATCTTCAAGACAGATCATTACGTGGTTTAAACCTCAAATCACCTACTAAACAATGCATCCATAATACTCTTAAATAACATTGGCTAAAATAGCTGGCACTTCATATAAAGCTGATTAAGGTTTATCAAAGTATTGACTTAAGGTAGTCTTTATGAAGGTATTGACATCAACTTCTTTAATCTGTTATCAGCCTGTCATTCTAAACATGCCGTGTTCATCTATTGACACAACAGATTATTAGCTACACAAATACACCTGTGTACTGTTTCTCTTAAAGATACATTATGGGAGATTTGATAAACAGCTGGTAGTTCTCATTATATATAATAGTTAAAAAACTAGATAATGTAAAAGGAATTTGCTGAAAATTTCAGTCAAATTGATCTACCCTGAACCGAGTATTTAGTGATTGAATTTTGGTCATAGCCTCGATCATCATAACTAAAGTAAGTACGATACAAAACATAGTCTCGATTATCCATTTTTTGATTTAATCAGAACCAGCAGGCTGTCAGGTTCTAATCCAGTAAATATCACAGGCTAACAATGCCATCAAGAGTTGATTATGGTCTGGATAAGTTAATTAATGTCTAATTAATAATTTAGATAACATTTCAGGCAGATTTAGTTCTTGCATAATGTATGTTTAAGCTTACTTTCACAGGGTGTAGATAGAAGACAAAAAATGGTATATGTAGGAGGGGAAAATTAAAGAGACAATGGGCCCCCCAAAATTTCAATGAAAAGATTAAGACCAAAATTATTCTCATCAAAATAATATATGTCCAAAAATTATTAAAATCAAAAAGAAATAATTTATGGTTATTTGAAGTTTACATAATTCATTTTTATTGATTTCATGCATCACCATCAGTAAATGCTTTTAAAAAGATTTGATTTTTATCTACCGGTACTATCATCCATTTCAAGAAATTTTCTAATCTATGTTAAATTTTCTTATCTTCTAAATAAAATTTGTCCTCCATTATTCTCCTTCAATTTAATAATGGAAAGTATTATTTTCTTCTGCCATATTGCGCCTTCAAACCTATCTTTTTAAGTCACAGATTAAGAAGATTATCAAAGTCAATAACATCTAAAATCTTGTTGCATTTTTCTCATGCGTGCACATAAACAAGACTTGAAAATCCAATATGCTTAAATTGTTAACTAAAATCAGACCTTACTTTAATTTTTTTTTTTACAGAACACACGAATGACAAATGCACAAATATTAGTTAAAGGTTTTATGCTGTTTGATCGGTTTGTTTTTTAATTTGCCTCTGGCGCAACTTTGGCTATGTTACATTTGCAATAAAATTTGTAAGTTCAACTACATGTACACAAAGCCTACCCACAGCTTGGCAACACTTCCCTTCAGATTGTAAAAGGCCACATGTTTTCTAGAATTCCTATTTAATGTATCTGCTTAATTGCAGTGAATCTATACTGGTCTCATATGTATTTTCAGGCAAAGGTACCGGTACTATTTTGGGACAATTTTCATCAATAAATGCAAGCAAACATTTTACTGCCATCCTGTTCATACCATATACAGTTTCTTACAGTTGTTCTCTGAGACTTTAGGATGAAAGAATAATTTCAAAATGTAAAACTAGACTATTTTTTGAAGTTACAAATATGGTACATTTCTAATTCATAAAACTGCAAAAGAACAGGGCTCTTTAGCAGTGGCAGAAAATTGGAGAATATCATGTCACCAAGCATGTGTAGAAGGGTCAGCACTGAACTCCCTAAGTTTTAACTCAGACGCTTTAAGATATACAACCAAACTTGGCTTTAAATTATAAAATTAAGTACCTCCACATAAAACATAAAATGTAATTGTGTAAGCTACTTCAGAAGAAAACACATCATAAATTAATAGTCTATAAGATATATGAGTTAAAAACGTCTAGTAGTAAAAATACTCTTATATGTCTGTTACATAAATGAACATTGTAAATAAAATTGAATATGTTAGTCCCAAAATGACCACATCATTGTGTTGATTTGACACGATTTAATTTCTATGTAATCTAACATCCCACCCCAAATATCTAGTGAAAATATAAACATGGACCATCTAAATGTATATATTACATGACTTTGTATGAATGTAGCTACCACACCCCATGTCCTTTTTATCACATGATTTTCCACATGGATAAACTCTATACAGTTTAAAGGACAGATATGTTTATATTGAGGTTTAAAAGATTAAGACGAAGCCTGCAATGGTGACAAACTATGGGAAGAATTTTGAATTTATGTTCAAGTTTCTATTCAAGAATCCAAGCACAATTTATCTACGCATGAAATATTAATAATACATGTATGACGATTCTTGATGTCCAAAAGAAAGACATAAATTGTTAGTTATCTCTCTATCTATCTTGTTAGTTATTTTCCCTAAAACAGGAGAGCAGTGTTAAATGATATTTGGTGGTCTAGAAAGAGAATGCATACGCTGCCTCATGCAGCATCAGCACAACTACTCACAACAGCTTTTGACTTCAAAGTTATATCTGTCTATCATTTTGCAATGTTTACCATGCCAGTAAAATTGTTAGATCCAGAAACAAGAGAAGTGGTATCAAGGGGTACACAAAGGAATGATTACCCTGCAATGGGCACAATGTGTATTACTATAATGAACCTGTATTTCACAAGCTGAAGTTACTGGCTACATGTAGAAGATACCACAAGTCTGGCCCCTTCTATTTGGGCCTGCATGAACGACACATCTTTCAATCTGATTAAAACACAGATCCTATTTCGTTTCGTTTTTATAGTTCAAAATTTCGTTTTATTTGTCTTACTGCACTAGGATCTGGAAGAGATGTTATCATTGATGTGTTCTGAATGATGTGAGCTATAAGCCAATGAAACGCCAATGAAACGGTCTGTTACGGCGAGCTTTAGGCATGTTTTGCACGGAAATGTGGGTAATCCACTAGTAACATCAATGCTGATTGGTTAATCAAATGTCTGATGTCATAGGGTCAAAAGCCACTTGTATGACCTCTGATGCTACCTATTGCTACAAATGGTCAGATCATCGTGTAGTGTAGGCCATCGAAAGTATAAAAAAACGAAACAAAATATAGATCTGTATTTTAATCAGACTGCACATCTTTATAAAATAAACTTTCCATCTCAAGAACTGTGGGTGTGCTACAAACTTAAGTAATTTTTGGGTCAAATTCTAACTAGAAGGAAAGTGTTCAACGTTTAATGATAATCTAAATGTCACATGATTGACAACTTGTCATTTTGTCAACAGAACATTAAACTTAGGTAAATGTCAGAGCTTCCTCTACCTTATAAGATCACTTTAAATTACCTAATTACAAGTATGGTCGACCAATTTGATGTTTTGTTAAATTCTTTCAATAAAATGGCCTCTTATCATGACCAGAAGAATTATATATATATCCATTATTTTGAGATTAACACATAATAATAATATAGTTATTTCAATACATTTCCAATTAGGGGCGTGTCATGGCATATATTTTCCATTTGGAGTGTCATTGCATGACTTTGTCAAACTGTCCATTACAATTTATATTTCGAATATTAGTTAGGATCGATTGATTTTATTGTTAAATATTTCCTTTATATATATGCCAAATTGTCAAACTGATCAACAGTAAAGTTTTCACTCAGTCGAGGCTTTTGTATTATTGAGGTGGGACAGTTTGCTAAAATGGTATCAAATGTATAATTATAAAGCCATTCTAATGTTTAAACCTCTTTTATCTGGGTCAAAATAAGACTTTATTAGGACTTTGGGGTTTGTTATTTTGATGTGGTGATGTGACAAACTGATATGGTTAAATTTGCATTTTGAGGGATTAAGCCAGTTTGTTTACTAAGTTTAGTCAAATTAAATTCAGGGCAGATTAAGGAATTTTGTTGAGGGAATGGCCAATTCTAAAAAGCTCACAATAAGTTGTCTGCCCCTCCCAACTCATCATAAATATGTAGGCATATATTTTATGTCATAGACAATTCAGGAAAACACAGATCTAATAAACCATGCATACACAAATAAATTTCTTGACCATCATATTAAAAATCAAGGCTACAAGGGTTATATTTATCCCTATTTAATATTTTAGTTTGGATTTATCTATGACATATGCGTGAATTGATTTCTTTGAATAAATTCTAAATATTGATGGGAACATATTGATGAATCAGATAACAGATATAATCAGACAATTAAGAAACGTGTTACTCTAGCAAAACACCGACTGGCCCCCTTTGGGCTACAATCTTCAGGGCCCTACAACCAAAATAAATGGCTAATCCACGCCTGCTGGCACAACTGGAGAGCTTATTTCCGACAAGATTATAGTATGATCAGTTCTTTGAACTTCTTATCATGCAAGTCCTTCATGTTCCATGAAAAGAGTGTAGAGTTATCAGGGTGGGCATTGGGAGGTGGAGGAGGGATGGTAAACATGAGACCTTGGTCTACCTCCAACATATACAGTCTATATGCATTATGCATGGTAGGATAAAGTCTTTAGTAACATCAGTAAGGTCTACACCATGCATGTGTGATTTTGGTTATTGGAAATTGGCAAGTATATTTATGCTTTATCTCACACTCAAATTAGATGCTTTTATTAGAAAAAGAATACTTACCAATATTTACTAAGCGAACATTATCATTAGCAATAGCTGTTAAAGCAACTGTCACATTTTGTAAGGCTTGATGCTGGTTATGTGGCTTTTGAACGACTCGCCCAATTTTTTTCTGTTGCAGGCATTCTACTAATGCACATAATTTTACCCCATCACAGAAATCGTCCTGTAAATCTTTGACCTCGAGACCCCTGGGTTGAAGCTGTACATTAATCCAATTTGTAAAAGTTGTTTTTTGAATAATAATCCATTTATCACTATCCCCACTCCTCACTGATATCCCTCTGCCCTCTTTTGATCTGGCTTGATGGCCAATTACATCTACCTGAACTTCAGTCATTATGAGTCAAGTGTCACATATACACAACGGTAAAAATATGTAAATAAAATAACGGTACAAATTATCTTTAAAGCATAAAAACTATAGCAGCACTTCGATGAATGAGATTTAGTACGGTTCTGTAGTCACGATGCTATCAAACTCGATACCGTATCGACAACCCTCTGTCTATCGGCCTATCTATCCGCTTGTTTAGGCTACACACTCCAGTGACTATCACACGTCGCCGTTGAATGAATGACAACAATCTTCACCTTTCTACCACAATAAAAATGTTATCTGAGGGCGTGGAGTTGGGTTACAACTTTCAGTCGTAGCCCCACATATCTCCGTATATTATAGACAGCGCCTTGACGAATCTTACTATAGACGTATACACTAAACCGGTTTGGGTGACCTCACCTGTGTGGTGATGCTGTACGTCACAGCCGTGTCGAGCTCAGGTAAAAGTTATTGACAAAACCTACAGCTGTATTAAGTTACTTTCAAATGGTGTATACTACAATGCACTAAAGGCTATTGTTACATTTACTGTAATAAGACCGAACGTGTTAAAAGAAAAACAAGTTTAAGACGCGCAATTTGTTTTTTATTTTGAAGCCGTCCCTTATAAATTACAAAAGGGCGTGGTGTAAATATAGTCATTCGTATTTACAGTTAGTTTATTGGGTTTTTTGGGGGTTTTTTTTTTTAAAAAGGGGCTGGCTGAAATTAAAAGTTCTAAGCCTGAAAAGCAGGATAGATCAATTGGGTTGAAACAAACTTTCGCCACCAACAAGTACAATTATTGAATGAATCATAAAGATAAGAACTGCAGCTGTGAACCTACCTACTAAAATCACCAGAAATGGACAAAACTGGCTATAGGGCAGTCAGTCATCAAGTTCCTGCAACTGAAATGTCTAACCCCAACACAGATACATGCCGACATGGTCTCTACTTTTGGGAATGATGCCCCTTCCTTTTTCACTGTAAAGAAGTCGGCTGTGGAATTAAGCGTGGTAGAGAGAGCTTTGACAATCTGCGCCGTTTTGAAGCAGATCCTGGTAAAGGTTTGGGTCAGATTTGTAACCATGTATGAGACCTATTTGAAAAAATGAAAAAGGAACTAGCCATTCGTGATTTTCCTAGTAATGATGACGTCATGTAAGCTGTGAACGACTTTTTTTTAAGGCTGGGTGAAGAAAATGTCTTCCTGACCGGCAGAAGTACGTACACCTGGAAAGGGACTATGTAGAAAAATAAAAGGAAACCATCGACTTTGTACACGTCCTTTACAGCTAGGCTTAAAACTTTTCAGTCAGCCCTCGTAAAATGGTAAACTTGGGTATGGAGGTGTGTGTGTGTGTGTGTGGGGGGGGGGGGGTACCACCTGTTATTCTTAAGATTTAAGTTTCCTCAACAGTTTTGATAATTTAGTCCTGCTTTGAAATTATTTTCGTGTTGACCGTATTCTCCACAGGCTCTAAGGAAAAAAACCTTCGCCTTAACTCCGTCAATCCTGCTCCGAATTTGTCAACAAAGTCTACTGCTAACCGGTTTTGGAGCACAATGCTTATAACTCGGCCGTGTTTTACCTACATTGTATACGCAAAATGGTTTTGTTGGGATACTAAAAAAATCACAAATAACTAATTTTTCACAGATTTGTTTTATATGTTATAGAACATTTGTGCCACGAAATACCACATACCACGTATGTTTTTGTTTTATGTGTTTCAGAATGGGTTCTTGTCAGGGTAGCAGTTTCCATATTATTTTTCACAAAGTACACGTGGACTGTACAGTACTTCAATGGTGTCCGTTATTGACAGTTCCTTCCTTACCTAACTACATTTCTTAAGCGGGAGAACTGCAAATAATACTTGATTCAAATCACTCAATGCATTTCTAAGATATAGACGTTTTAACTATCCATTTAAGTGCATTCAGGGGGTTTAAAGCCTAAATGCGCCCGTCGGCCAATAATTCATTGATAAGCGAGAATTTTCACATATGTTTTATATAAATAAAAGACTGAATCAATTTTTTCTCACATTGTCTTAGCTATGTCAAATGTGGGTTCGTAGATTAATTTCATCCGGGTTTCGGACCAATCTGCTGCACCACTAAGCAGTTTATGGATAACTTAGGATCGTTTGAATGTCGTTAAAAGTTAATGCTGGTTGAAAATGAGACTATAACAAAGCAATCGATACAAGAAAACAACACATACGTTCTTATATAAATAATTTATATACAAAACGATTGGAGAATTTTATGAATCTGAATGTCTTCTGGGATACTTAAATGATTCTAAAAGGAATAGTTCTTTTAGTAGCAATATTAATGTCTGTCAATATCTTAATAGTCTTTTGGGGTGAACCAGATACAGACTTTAAAAAGAAATTCCAACTCTTTGGGTTTTCTCCGGGTCCTCCGGTTTCCACCCACTGCTAAAGACCTCTCCGCATAAGCGCATTATTGAAATAAAATTGAACCGTGTGTTAGTCCCGAAATGACCTAGTTTGTTTCCCTGTCTCGGTATAATATTAATGTTGACTGCCCTGAATAGTAAAATATCAAGCTAAGCCAAGTTACCTCCCTTTAGATGAAGAATTAGCGGGTGTCCCTATTGTCCCCAATTTGTGATCACCACAACAGATTCGGAAACTGCGCAAAAATCTTGTCTAGAAAAACTGGGTGTCATAAATTCACAGCTCGGGTGGCGCCCCCCCCCCCCCCCGCTTCAGCCACCGGACTACTAGTAAAGTTAAAATATTGAAAATTCTCAGAACAACTAATATACTCGACCAATGTTCAAACATTCACAAAGATAATGTTTTGGTTTGAGTCGAATTTGTTTCCCAGTCGATGGATAAAGGTGACATTTTGGAACGTAAATGGTCGAAAATCGAATAATATAAGCTACATAATTAGCCCTTTCCCTCCCCAATAATTATGGAACCATTTTTACCACGTGGTAACTGAAGACTACAATCGTGGTCATTCATAATGCAATTTCGCTTTGGTATTAACTGTTACTAAGCTAATAAATCGAATTGTAAGATGCAGCCCTAAAGTACATGTTTGTATGATTTAATAAAGTACGTGTTCAAAGAAAATATTAAAAATAATAATAAAAGGCTACTTCACGCGCGTAAACAAGATTAGTCTATATACATACCCTTCTTTTTTCAATTATTCAAAAGACTATATGAAGACTCTCCTGTGGTTTATGCTTATAAGATCCCGTTTTGTTAATGTGGGGTTAATAATAGCGTTATCTCTGAACATCAATACAATCGTTTAATTGTACACGATTAACACATTAGTATCCAGGCCCCTTTAGTTCGTTTCTTTTATGCCTGTCATGGACAAGACTTGTGTGAAATAATCAGACAATATAACCTAACCGGTTGAACAAACGAGATAAATAAAGAAATCTATATGGGGCACATTTTGATGTCGCACTAAGAGCAATTTTAGCTCACTCTATCTACGGGTTCTCCATCTCATTAAAATGTCCATGTATTAAAGCTTAATACATCACGAATAAAAGTATAAATTTCAAAGCGCTTTACTGATTTTCAATTCTAGTCCTGTAAAGAATAATTTTGCGGTACGACTAAAACATGTATTCCACGATCAAATGTTTGAGACATAAAACTCTTTTAACAATGTAATTAGGAAGAGTTTTTAAACCGTACCTTGAACATGATACTTTGCAGTCATTTTGAGAGTAACATATAGGTATTTATATATGTCAGCCTACCCTTTGTACGGGAAACATGTTCGTTGACAGTTTTCCTGGTGGAAAAATCCGAAGTTCTTCATGTTCATGCCGGGATGTGTACCGCTCGTCATTCTAGTCGGGATATCTCGACCCCGTTTATGTTAATCTTATACTATCTTTATGCATATAATCATGGACTTATTATAGTAGTATACTATGTGGTACTTGTATTAAATTTTCAGATTTACCGCTAATATTTGGTGCTACGTTACGGAATATTATTTTGCAAATTTCCTGATTCCTATTCACGAGGCCCACTACATAAATAGAATCAAGCCATAAAGAGAACTTTATCAACTCTGGGTTATGTAAAACTGCACGTAACATAATGTCAGTTACTGTTTAGTAATGTACATTATTCTGTTATTACAAGCAATATCACTACTGCTCAAGTTCAAATTAGAGAGACAAACGTTGCAAAACAGGTACTAATTAATACCTAATTAAATTGTGTCACATGAAATGAAATGTAGTTAAACGCCCAGACCTCCCACTATCCTGTACCGACTGGGCTATTGAAACGGGCATACGCCATGCAGTGTGCTGCCATGAAGGAAATTTTGCCCGGACAGCGGCACTACGACCAACTCGATTTCTAACTGCTAAGGGTTCTTTTATGTGCACGCCAGTGTGTACACTGGACCTCGGTTTTTCGTCCCTAGCTTGTGTCAAATGTGCGTTAAACCCTGCTAAAAGCGGGGCTGCTACTAAAAAAAAGCCAATGGGTAGATATTGTAAAAACAATCAATAGAAAGTGATATATCAAATTATTATTGGCATAGTTGTATAGAGGAGCAGCGGAGGTCCTGGATTCGATCCCTGTGTTGATCGAGAAAGTTTCTCGGAATTTTCCAGCGGGGTTACCGGCCTCGTCAGTGGGGAACAAGACAAAGTGCCCGACAAGGACAATATCCTGCAGTCTTTCGGATGGGACGAAAAACCGAGGCCCTACGTACAAGTTGGCATACACGTAAAAGAACCTTTGACAGATGAAATTCGACATAACTTCGCTGTTTGGGCAAACTTTCCCTCATAGCAAACTGTTTGGCGTACGCCCGTCTTTATTAGCCCAGTCGGTGCCGAATAGTTGGATATTAAATTCCATTTCATTTCATAGTTGTACACGGTGTGCCAGACCCCAGTAAATAAAAATAAACCTGTTCTCAGTAGTCAGAATAGTAAAATACAACTGGACTATTAGAAGTTAGCCATTCAAATGTATTATGTAAAAAAATGGACTGTGTGTACATGAAACTGTTAGTTTTTCTAGTTTTCGACCTCATTCTTCATTAACACACTGTCTCTATATCTCTCTCTCTCTCTCTCCTGAACCATACTTTGTCTTAATAACAAGGAGCAGAACAGTGATACGTTAAACCCCATTTCATTAAATTTCTTAATTACAGACTATTGAACTTCCTAATCCGCACTAATCCCCTCTTATGTGTTAGGTGCATGAGCGTACAAATTGTACCATTGATATGTCATTGTAAATATTAGTAATGAATGATAATAATTATAGGCTTGCTATAGACCTGCTATTAGATTTCGACAAGGAAATGTGATGCTTTGATTAAATGTTGTTGGTTTAAAAAAAAAATAAAAAAAATATATACATATTGAAAGAAACATTTTTTATAGTAATTTCAACC